GTGTAGGGAGAGTCACTTCACGTTACAGTGCACTGATACAAGAAAACACAGCCTAAAAGCTGTTTGGATGATCCTTTAAAGATCATTCCTGCAACTCATCTCCCTTCCAAACAGTGCTTACAAATACACACAGATCCCTTATTCCCAAGGTGCGAAATGAGGGAAGGAATTGCAAGAGTTACAGGTTTCTCCTGCAGAACAGAGCGGTAGCATCAGCCCCTGGATTTCAGACCTCCTGAAGTCAAGGCAGAGCTCTTCTCCATCAGGACATTCAGCACAAGTGCTGACAGGAGGTACCTACCCCACACAGAGCTTTACAGTGTCTCATCTCTGCGAGCCCCGAGCACACGCCATGCAAAACTCAAGAGCATCGAGAAGCCCTAGCACAAGCTCCAGCATTTCTCTTGATCTGGCGTAGGAGAGGGTGGGCTGGCGCTCCTCTGATGCAGGTGTGGTGGAAACACCTGGCTCGATTCACATAGTCTTTCTCTGCTACATCACTTTTTGTACAGAAACAGCCTCTTTGGAAACAGGGATCTTCTGAGAGGGTGAACGTGCGATGCACAAACCACCTTTACGGGGCAAGGAGCAGAGCGGGATCTCATAGACCTCTGCTTTCCGCATCCCACTAATTCAAAGGCTCCCCCGTGGAAGCACCCAACCAGCTGCACCGTTGCTATTACTTAACACAGAGACATAAACACGGCAGACTGAAAGCAACGGCCAGCAATGGTGAGCAGCAGATGAGCAGTAATGAACCCTGCAGAGGGCTGGGGAGAAAAGCTGCCCTGAGCACCCAGCTTCGCTGCGCGCACATAAGCAGAGCGCAGAGGGGACAGCCCTGCCGCGTCCCCAGGCTGAGCCGCTGCCACGGGGCTGCACGTCAGGGAGGACCTTGCAAGGCGCATAGAGCAGCTCTGCTTGCAGCACGGCCTGGGTACCCTCGAGCGCAGCGCTGGGGGCTGCCCGTGCTGCGGCGGCTGTTGAGCATCACTACCCTCAGGACCCTGCTGGGGCACAGGCTGCCACCAGGAACAGGAAGGGGAGTCACTTCAGAGCGGTCGCGAAGAGAAGCCAAAAGGCACCTGGAGCCGAGGGCAGCCTGGAGACATACAAGCAGGGCGAAGAAGGCACCTGCACCTGCACGTACTGTCTGGACAAGCGCTGCGGTGCAGGAGATTTTTGCAAAATAAAACCTTTGCAGCCATTCTGGAATTACTCCCCATGTGTGTATACTCATAAAATTATGGAAAAAAACTCCCTCTTATGCCAAAACATTGAGTATCCTTCCAAAAGCAGAGTAATACTTTCAGTTCCTGAACCAGCCGTTCAGGGTGCTGCTCCAGACAGTCCATGCAAAATGCTGGGCCCTGAGAGTTGCTGCGCGCAGAGAGCCCCCAAGTGCTGCAAACACTGGCGCTGTGTTGACAGAGATGACAAAAAGAAGAAAAATAGCTCCAGGTTGCATATAAGAAAACACAGTCAGGAAACCAGTGCAGACAGGTTAAAGAGGAGGGAAGGTCTGGAGCTGGTGAGTTGTGCAAGCAATGGGTACGTGCGTGAGCCGACAGGGACAAGGACGTGCCCGGGCGAGCCCCAGAGCTGCTCAGTTCTTTAGCACGTGGCTCCCTTAGGCAACGAGGAGAGCAGCGGCTCCGGGCAGGCGCCAGGGGCAGAGCTAAGTGTCCTTGTGGTGTGCAAAGCCCATGGGCTGCAGTGCCAGGCGCAGGGCGCCCGTCAGTGCTAACTGCACAGGCCGCGCAGCAGCAGCTGCAGCGAAACTCATTACTCCCCTTTCTTGTTAGCGTTCCAGGGGGGCTGGGTAAAGCCTGGGCCTCGTTTCGTTAGGGGCTGAGCTTGTTGCAGCTCAACACAGGCTTTTCCAGGCTGAACAGGGAGCCCCACCTCCTCACAGACAGCCTGGCTTTCAGTTCTACCTCTGGAAAACAAAACATTCACAGTCTTATGTCCCTGAACAAAAGTTCTCATGGAAGGAATACCTGTTGATCTACTGTGGAGGGGATTGCCCTCCGCTTTCCCTTTTAGCAAATCTGCAGTGAGTTTCAGCTAACCCTCCACATAGGGAGGGCAAGAGTGTGGCCTTACGATCTTAACTGACTGTAAGATCCAATGAAGATGACACGTTCCAAAATATTTAACAAATTACAGATAACACTTTTAAGGCCTAAGAAACCATGGGGTTCGATGGCAGTTTTTTCCATTAGACATAAATCTTTACATTTTTGTCTAAGTACTTTATTGAATCAGGGCCTAGGCATGTGCTGAAAGCCAACTGCTTCAGTGTTTTGCTGAATCAAACTAAAGACAGAGCTGTGACACTGGAAAACATTGTGGTAAGTCAGTATTAGACAGAAACGGTCCAGTAAAACAAAATAAAATAAAAATAAAATCATGTCCCCAATTCCTTTGACCTCTTAAGGATCATATAACCATGGCAAATACAGAGCTTGAGCATGATATTTTCAGCACAAATGGAATGCATTTTTCCCCATCCCTGTTCTTCGCAGGGTCACACTGAGCCCACAAACACAAGGTGACTGCGGATCCCAGCAAGATGGAGACGGGTGGAGAAAGCTCAAGAAGAGAAGGGAAGAAGACAAACAGAGCAGGAAATGGAATCAGGAAACCTCTTATTGGGGATAGAGGCTCTGCCTGATGCCAATTTGATTTACATGAAAATCATATAAATCCTTAACAGGGAGTAAAGCACAATGCACCCCCCCTTGGGAAGGGCCATCTTTGCAGAGCTAATGAAAGTTGAATAACTTACTCGCACACAAAGGTTCCCAGTGGAATGTCTTGCATCGTTCGCACACCCCAGCCCATCTTTTGTGTCCGATAAAGCTGTAATCGAGTCCTGCAAAACAGGAAGGAAAATCCTGTTAATGGCAACAGAAGCAGAAAAGACAACAAATATCTGGGCAGGCAAGGGCGGGAAAACAGTAACTTTCCAGGAGCACGAGCTGCATTTTGGGGCCGACCTGTGCGCACAAGCCGGGCTCGCTCCGCCCGCGCCGGTCAGGACACACTCGAGGCGAAGCAGCGGGCCAAGGGGAGCCGCCGCTCGCCTCCCTCCCAGCTGCACTGCGTGTGCTCCGGGCAAACCAGAGTGGGGAAGGGACCTGGGGAGCGCTGCTATGCTCTCACACCCCGGGGATTCCCTGTGGGACACCCAAACCAACCCTTCCCTTTGACCCCCGTCCCCGGCGCACAGCGCAAGGAAGGGAAAGTGGAGGGGAAGCTTCACGCTGTAGCTCTGCAGGGAGGGAGGGCAGCGCCAGACGAGCTGAGGACACCCTCAGCTCAGGGCTCCGGTCCCTTTGCCCTCGGCAGACGCCAGTACATTTAGCAGCTCCATCAGATCCAGCTCCCTGGCCGAAAGACAAGGAAGAAATGCTGCAACTCGAAACTTCTTGGTGTAATAGCTGCTCTGTGGAATTTTACTGATATAGTTTATAGGCAGAGCAACAATCCTGTAAGCCATTCTGCCCCCTGCTCAGCCAGAACCTGAGTTAAGTGCAGGATGAACACTCTCCAGGGCTAGGGAAGGCTCTCTCCCCACTAGGGAACCAAAACCCACTCTCAGCAATGCGGTTATCGGAATAGAGAGAAATCTGATGCTCACCTTAGCTTCACCCTGTTGCTTTTTGCAGTATTTTCCTCCTCCTCCTCCCACCCCTTCCTCCTGCTCCTCGTGTCCCCTTCCAGGCATGTGGCAGCCCCTCGCCCGCCTCCTTGGCCCGCAGCCCAACAGGATACGCCATTGAGCGCAGATCCGGGGCCTGCTGCCAGGGACCACGGACCCAGCAGAGGGGCCACGACTCGTCCATCGGACCCACGCGAGGCTCCCGCTGGCAGCACGTGGCCCCGCTGAGGCCGCTTGGAGTAGATCCCGTCGAGGCGGCCGGGCAACAGAGCCGGGGCTCCCACATTTCACCCTCGAGCCCAGCCCTGCCAGGCACCACGAGTATCCTGACCATCTCTCCTGGGCTCGGGGCAGCACTCCCAACCTTCCTGCTCTCTCACAGAGAAACTTTAGGAAGCGAAAAATGCCAAAGCAACAGATCTAATTATACAGCTCCTAAATGAACACCCACATACCCACTGGAGGAGCTTGGCAGAGAAAATCAGAGAGGGGTAAAGTTCTGTGGAAACACATCAAACCTTTTTCTAATTTATTTTTAACATCGCAAAATGTCACCGAAACTGCAAAGTTTGCAGAAAAGTGTGGTCAGTACTATAAAAAAAAAACTTGAAAAAGTCATTTTTCCAGTAGGATTCTGCAGAAATCAGCCCTCTTAGGTTTAATACAGTGGCTAGCTTCTCCAAAATAAAGCTCCAAAACAAAACATTTTAATTTATATTTCTGCACCAAAATAATAATTGCCTGATCTGCAGCAGTAAAGGCAATGAGTATTCAAATATGCAGTTCACAGGGAGTCAGACCACTCCCCTGGAAGCTTTAAGAAGCTAAGTCTGTGTATGCTGGCCCCTATTTCTCACATAAACTGCTCGCTTATAGTATTTTCAGAATAAAGGCTTTAAAATCGGGAGAACGAAAATCTATTGTCTTCGGAGATCTCCACCAGGGGAGATCTCCACCAGGAAAGTTGTGCGTGGGCTGTTTCATGCAAACCCACAAGCCACTTACATTTCATGTTCAGGCTGATTAAAAACCACCATTGTTCCCATGTGATGGGGCCAGTGGCAGGGTGTGAATCTTAACCAATCTCTTCAACCTGCTCCTGCTTCACCGGCGACAGCGGCACAGGGGGCACTTGCACTGTTTCCCCCCACTCTGTGCTGGCACCCGCCCCGTCTCTCCGTGGTAGTCCTGACTTTGGTGTGTTTACGACAAGCCGAGAGCAGCGAGGCAGCACGGCCCGGGCGTGGAGGTTCCCGAGGAGCTGCGCTGCGCTGCTCCTGCTCACCTGAGCCCGTTCTGCACCACGCGGTTGCGGCAGGTTCGCCAGCAGGAGCACGCGTGGTTGCACTCGAAGATGAGCGGCGGCTCAGCCATGTTGAACTCGGGCAGCAGGCGGCCGTCCTGCAGCGGAGACGATTTGAGAACGCATTAGTTTGCTGTTTCTGGACCCTTCCAAGGCACCTGCAGCCACAGCACATTCCCCCCAAGCATAAAATAGGCTGCAGAACCATAATGTGGATGCACGGCCCAACCTCCCCAAACACAGGGAAGATCTCAAGTACTTGAGGAGGCTTTGCCCCACCTCAACAGTGCTGCATTCATTGGCATCAGAAAACAGCAAGGGACTGGCTTGATTTTGTTGCCTGGCATCACCCCACACACCAATCCCAGCAGCTGTCATTACTATCATTCTGCAGGGTTGGAGGGCTATGCAAGGGGTTCATCTGTTTCTAGGATAAGGCCTAAACTTCCATTTTACCTGGTACACTGAAGTCTTGTGAATCACCTTTCTCTTCCCAAAAAAGCTACAATTCAACCATACAATACCAACCACAAAGAATTGAGAAAGTGCCAGCCACAGTTGATCAAATTTAACAAATTTGTCTTTAAGGGCTCAAACAGTGCCATTGCCTATTAACATGTGAACAGGATGGCTACAAAGCCAAGAGAGATGCCAACATTCCCCCTGGGAGAAACCTGCAGAGATTCACAGAACTTCTGGGGAGAAACCTGCAGAGATCACAGAACTTCTGATCCTGGCAGAGCCTGTCCAAGTATTAACCTCAAAACCTCCCTGGAGGATTCAAGCATACTCACCCACAACAGGCCAGCCTTCTGGCAAGGCTGCAATAAGACTATTTACTCTGCCTTCATCAGGCAGGATCATAATAAATAAAAAGCAAGCAAAATCTCCTTAGTACCCTCCCTCTGTTCACGTATTACTATGTTTGCTGTGTCGCTCTGAAATGCAGGGATTATTAAACGTGCTCCATCACATGGCTGTGATTAACAGCTCGGTTGGCAGGGCAGTAGCATGAACAACACAGAAAAGCTTTCCTGCATAGGCATTTTGTTGTTGTTTTATCACATATGTCTCAAAGGTGAGACTACCATGGGAGGCACTTTCAAACACAATGAGGAGTTGTGCAACGAGCTGTGTTTAAGGTACTACTGCAAACAGTGAATTTTGCAAAATCCAGCTTACAAACATGAAGTTGTGTGTCCTCACCTTATCATACCAGCAACGCATACTGAGTTGGCCACACATACAGTTACTGGAGGAGCAGTCATCTATACATACACAATACTGCAAGAGATAAAAAAGGGATTAAATCAAAGCCATTCACGTATACCTGAAAGAGTAACTTCTGTAATTGGGCCAGACAGGAAACAACAAGTCTTCATCTCCTGCCTCTTGCTGGAATGCCTCTCAAGCACCTCCAGAAGAGGCCCTGCTCCAGCTCTTTGGCCAGCAAGATAAATCAGCCTCAATGACTCAGTGCAATTTTTACTCATTTCTTTAGTTCTGCACGGACTGAACATCAAAGGACTCCAGGGTGCAGGAAGGGGTGACATACTGAGATGTGGAGACATCGTCTCTCATGGGCATGAGGGCCCTAGTTCTACTCATCTTCCTCCCTGCCCTATGAGTTGCAAAGGACAACAGAAGCTCGGAGAAGGGACCAGAGGTGGGAGATGACGCAGTGATCTCATTTAACCGTGGCTGCTTGCCTCTTCCTACATGTGCTCCAGCTGGCTGCTTCTACTCAGCCCTGGTGAGGCCATATCTGGAGAACTGTGTCTCATGCTGGGCCCCCCAGTACAAGAGGGATGTGGAGGTGCTGGAGAGAGTCCAGCGCAGGGCTACAAGGATGATCAGGGGCCTGGAACATCTGCCTTATGAGGAAAGACTGAGAGAGCTGGGCCTGTTCAGCCTGGAGAAGAGAAGGCTGAGAGGGGATCTAATCAATGTCTATAAGAACCTCAAGGGAGGCAGTGAGGAGGATGGTGCTGGCCTCTTTTCAGTAGTGGCCACCGACAGAACTACAGGAAACAGCCATAAACTGAAGCACCAAAAATTCCACAGGAGCTTAAGGAAAAATTTCTTGACAGTGAGGGTGGGAGGGTGGCAGAGCACTGGAACAGGCTGCCCAGAAAGGTTGTGGAGTCTCCTTCTCTAGAGATCTTCAAAACCCACTTGGACGCAGTCCTGTGCCACGTGCTCTAGGTGACCCTGTGGGTGCAAGGACTAGATGACTTCTAGAGGTCCCTTCCAACCTTAACCATTCTGGGATTCTTCCCCAGCAGGCCCCCAGCCCACATCGTCCCGCTGCCAGCTACCAAACAGACCTTGGCCACGGGAAGTTCATTTCAGCTCAAGGGCTGCACCCAGTGACAGGTAACCCAAGTGCTGTGCTCTCCCACCTCCGCTTTCGCAGCTTGGCCTGTCAAGCACTCTTGGTATCAAAATAACCCTAGACATGCAGCCAGTGGGAACACAGCATGGGACTGGCCACGTGTGAAGGGTTCATGGCAACTGTGTCCAGCAGGTAGGCTGCTGGTCACCAGGACAGTGGCACAGTCCTCTGGATACTACAGACAGTGACTACCTCCATGGCATATGAGAAACATCATAGCAAGAAAAAGCCATGAGCAACACTGCATTATTACTACCACATTCTTACTACCTACAAACCCGTTTGCCCTACAGTTGCTGTAATAAGATGGTCTCCAAACAATTCATTCACTCTCTATATCCACAGTAAAGGAAAAGGATAAACGGGAGCCACTTCCGCCAGCCCCAGGGGCTGACACGGTGTCTCCAGCACAGGGCCAAGCACAGAGGTTAGCTAAGGCCAAGAATGGAAGCAAAGCACAATCCTATCTCCTAGAGCAAGAGCTGTAAGGGTTCAGGAGCAAAACCTAAAGTTTGATAGAAATACTAGGACTAGATGTTCCTATATGAACAAAGGACTAACCTATTACTATATATATATAGATAGTATATATAAAGTAGGAAAGTACCCCCAAATCCTTCTTGTCTACGATCCCATTCTGAGAGCTGAAGAAGAATGTCTGTTCTCTAAGCACTGAACTTACAACATTTCTACATACACCAGAAAAAAAAAAGGCATTTACCCAATCCCTCACCTGTAAATGGGTGATGTTTCTATCAATGTCCATTGGGGAGGTGACACAGTTCTGCGAAACGTATTTGTAGTTGCTGGGACAAGGCTCACTGTCCACTGAATTGATGCAGGGAATTGGGATCCTCTCGTAACCCCGGGCGATGTCTCTGTTGGTGGAAGAAAGAGAAGTATCACTTTACACACACACACACACACAAAAAAAAAAAAAAAAAAAAAAAAAAAAAAAACACAGCTCTCCCAAACAAGGGCCATTCAAATGATGCTCTTCTGGGGCAGAATTACTGTTTTCAATCAATCAATATTCAAAGCTTGAAAGTAATTCAAACAAAAACTGAGTTAATCATTTTTTTTTCATCCTGCCTTACGGAATGTTCTTTGTGCTTCTGAATATTTCTATTTGGATGATGAATTTACAAACTACATTATGGATCTGCATGCGTCTAGCTCTTGCTAAGCTCAAACTGACCTTAACACCAGTCCCACAAACTAAGCACATGCTTAAATCCTTTCTTAAACCAGGTTCTTGGCCTCTCCCTTGGCAGAGCTGTATTTTATGACCCACAAGCAAAGCCAGCTGGATTCTCACCTGCTCACTACCTTCTCTATCTGAGCAGGCTTCTCAGTAGATGATTCTTTGAGAGTCTTGTTCATCTGTAGAGCCACCCAGACCTGAGAGTTAAGGCTGGAGCACTGCAGTGGAGTCTCACCTTCCTTGTTCTTTAAAGTAACATCCGAGCCACGGGAAAGAAAGAGACTGCAAAACATCAACAAAGGATAAGCATCCCCGAGAGAAACTGTGCAAGGGGAAGAGCAGCTGAATTCCATTCTCCAGCCAGTCCTTAAGAGACTAGGAAGAATCTGTAATAGTGAATAATCACCTGAGTTTTCTGTATTAGGCACGGTTCACCTGATCCTTCTCCTTGAAGGGGCTGGCAAAAGCAAGAGACTGAAGCTCTGGCACTCGGAGGGCTCAGGGCAAATCTCAGCTTGCGTCAGGCAGGACAGCAACTTGTCTGTAAGCAGCCTCACTTCCACACACTGGAAACTCCCTGGCTGGCAAAGGCATGCGTGGGAAATGGAGGCCAAAAATGGCAGAGTCCCATCGGAAACTGGTAAGGGGCTTGTTCCCTGCTTACTCTCACCAGCTCTCAGGAGCAAACACACTGAATTTACTCAGCGCAGGGATCAATGAAGGAAAAACCCTCTTGTGCCACATTAGTGGCAAAAAGGCTTTGCCTGACGCCTTTGTACTGAGCTGCCACACTAGGCTCAGCCCCTCAAGCCTCTGCTCAGGGCTCCAGGCCTAGCCCACGTTTGCTTGATCCTTTTGCACCAGCTCTAGCAGCAGGAAGCAATCGTGGAGTGAACTTGCATTAAAATAACATCCATCTGAAGATCTATTTCTGCTTTGAGAGAAGGGAAAAAAGGGCAAGCAAGAATCAGATGCCCAGTATTTCAGACCCACAGCAAGCAGCAACAGGTCAGGAGGAGGTCCCAGTTTTGGCTCGAGTTTAATGGTCAAAGTGTTTCCAAGTCTCTCCAGAGCTTGTCCTCTGGCACCTGGATAGAGCAGAGGACCAGGGGAAGGGAAGGAAGTGCTGGGGCTGGAGCTGCACTTCAGGGGGGAGTCTCCGTGGATATTCACTGCATGTAAATCACACTTGGCAGCCAACAGGATCTCCGCTATGTCAACGCAGCCAGAAAAAGCGGCCCAGTGCAAACAAATATTTTCCTCCTGCCGGAGAAGGAAACAGAGTACAGGCTGTTTAGTGCATTAAAATCCAATCGCTCTGGGACTTCACCATCTCTCTGCTCTGCATCTGGCGCATTCGACATGTGCCTCGACTTCTCCCTCACTAGGCTGCTCGCCAGAGCTCCCGAGGCAGAGGGGAATCCTCTGTACAGACCCGTGGGAGCTCTCCCTGTGGCCGCCTCCACGCGTGGAGGACGGGGAGGCTGCGCTCGAGGCGCCCCACGCCTCCCTTCCTGAGCAGGCAGACTGCACCTCTCGGAGCCGCCCAACGCTCCAGAGCCATCCGCAGAGCTGACAGACGGCAACGAACCCGCCAGGGAGGCTAGCGCCTGAGCCACCCAGGCCAGACACGCAGCCAAGCTAGCAGGGCTCCCCATGCTGGAAAATGAGAGAGGGGAAAAAGGAGCCTGCCGAGGAAGAGCAGGACACAAGCTGCAGGGTACATGAAGGTGCTAGAGAGTGAAGCAGCAGCCACAGGCAAAGCAATCAATCCGACTGCAGGCATCTCTTAAATACTGCATGTACTCAGCCCTCACTAACAGCAGCACTAGAAATAGCTGAACACTCATCTTTTTGATAGAGATATTTTAAGCAATGATACTCTGTTTTTTGTTACAGTGCGATTTGCAGCACACTTTAAAACCCTTCCACATGACAAGCTCTAAAGATGCCAATTAGAACAGTGCACTGGTAGTAATGATCATGTAACTTTTTTTCTTCTTTTTTTTAGGAAAGCAAAAACAAAGCACATCCTTTAGTCATAGTCCTTGCACCTTAACTCAGATATTTCCTTAAAGAAAGGGGCTATTAATATATATTAGTATGCCTAGAATGAATATACATATATATGTATATATGCTTGGAATATACGCCAAGCTGGTGGGGGGAACCTTCTTCTATACGGCTTCCACCTCTCAGTAGACAAACAGCTAGAGCAAACCCTGGGCAGTATTCTATACCAATCTAAAGACAAAAAATAAAAAGGCAGATTGCACACCAAATGCTGCTGCCCGGACAGGTTACACACACAGTACACACCTGGATTCCCTTCCTTTGCTTTACATCAACTCCTGCCTAACAGCAGCATAATCATAGCCAATGGTGTTTCTGCCAGTGGAATGTTTCCCAGGCTGAGGAACACTGCTCCTGAATGACTGCAATCAGGGGACACCAAACGGCAGCTACAGGGACAGACACATGATACCTACACCTGCCAGGAGGACATTTTTCTAGCGAGTAATTTGTTGACTAAGATGATTGCCACCATTTAATGTATGACCTAGCAGTTGGTAGCCATAGGTTTCTGGAACAGACCAGAGAACTCGGTCTTTTTCAGAGTCAGTGTTAGGGCACTGCAATAATGCAACAACCCCAAAAGTCAAGTCCCACTTTGACTTTTGCTCTTAGGGACTGTGCCAGATCAGAACCTGCCTTGGAACTACTGAAGCCACCAAGAAATAGAGGCTCCTCAGGAGATGGGACTCTCAGGCTACGGAAGGCGACTCCTTGGGTGCAGCTAGAACAATTTCTGAGCACAATGAGTTAAAAACCCAGGACCTCTTCCTGCCAGCACCAAATAGGCAAAGGTATTTGGGGTGACAAATACAGAACAGCTGCTTTATATCCAGACATGGACTAGCAGCCCTAGACAAGACAACGTGCTGCCCTGGGGCATGCTGAAGTGCCAAGCTAAGGCAGGGGAGGCACTGCACTGCCAACTCTCTGTGAGCAGAGCGTGCGAGGCGAGTTACCCTCCTTCAGCCAGCTATCCCACACCTCCTTCAGGCAAAGCCTGGAGTAGCTCATCTCGCCCTGGTCCACAGCCAGGCCTACCTTGTGGCTCTTCTGCAGTTTCAGTAACTTTAGAGCCAAGGGGAAAAAATGAGAAAGATGCTACTAGGAAAAGAAAGAAAAGCAGCAGCGCTGATAAAATGTTATCTCCTCTATAGAAGCCTGGATACTCTCTTCCTTTCCAGTGATCTCCCATCGTCACTGTCTCATAGCTTATCTCTGGCTACACAAACAACTCCTCTGAAAAAGGCCAGCAGACTAGACGTTCAAAGCTGCCGAGCTGGACTCACTTGCAGTCAGACTGCCTAAGCTATGCAGGATTTCTCATCATAAAGCAGAAACTACAGAGGAGAAGAGCAGGTCAAGAGCAAGCTCAAGATCACGCCTAAAGAGCTGCAGGAAGAGGCGTGCTTACCAACCAGCAGGGCTTCTTCCTAGAGCACGGGGGAATGTTCTCCCACTAGGCACTGTCCACTCACCATCCCTAAACCACCTGTGTCAAGGGACCACCAGGCCTCCCTGCACTGAACCTGCAAACTGTGCTCTTGATTACTCATTTCATTTTTAAACGGGATGGTGGATTTCTGAAAAGGATTCCAGGAAGAGCCTCACATTGTCTCGAATGTTAATGTCCGACCCCTTCGCAAGCAGCAGCTTCACCAGCTCAATATGCTTGTATTCAGTGGCCCAGATCATAGGCGTCCAGCCTCCATCGTCCTAGAAGGGAAAGGAGAGGATGAGACACATGGAACAAGCAAGGAGGTCTCTGTTGAGTACAAGCCCCTTGGCAGCCACAGGCTGCACCTTGCTTAAGAGCCACAAACCCCTTGCTTCGTCCCACCACTCTCCTTCACTTCACACTGCTGCAGAGAAAGGTCCCTCGGGGTCCTGCAGAGCCCAGCATGATCTGAACCAATCTGCTTCAGCAGACTCTATTTGCAGCTCAGCACATTGCTGATGGATCTCCAGGGTGCCCAAATACAGCTGACTGACCAAAAGGCAAAACGACCATCCAGCTTATGTAAAAGCTTGCACAAAAGATCACAGAGCAGTCCAGGAGAACTGCCCTTCCCCCAGCGGTGCCTCACACTGTAGCAGAGCCGCGTTACCCCAGCCTAGACCCCAGTCACCATGAGCAGCGACTCATGGACCCTGGAAAAAGCTAGGCTCCGTCAGTAGATTCAAGGTCGAGAAGCTGTAAATGGAGGCACATGGAAGAGAGGTTTCTGCGGGGTGAGCAGGGCAGAATAGCTCCACCCAGGCAGCACTTGCAGCACAACCTGCCTTGGACTTGCCCACCAGTAGGACTGCGTTAGAGCAAGCACCATCTGGGCAGCATTCTGGTGATTTCCCTGTGCCTGACCCAAAGAAAAGTGCTTCTGTGACCTGTACAGAGCCTTTACCTGGCAGTTGACATCCATCTGCCCATTGGAGAGAAGGTACTGAACTACATCATAGTGCCCCTTCTTGGCAGCCAGGTGCAAGCATGTGGATCCCTCTGCGTCCTGGACACAATGAGAGAACAAACGTTCAGGGAACACGACCTCTGCGCCCCTCTCCCGTCTACACAACCATAATGATGCCCAGCAGCTTCAGGGAGACAAGTTCACGACTCCGAAAGCCTCCAAGCTGCTGCAGGTGCAGGAGCAGCAGGGCAGAGGACTGCGCTGCACAGGGACAGAAAGGCAGTCCCCAACGTGCCTGTGCTTGTGTACTGAGATATAACACAGCAGCGAAGGCTGGAAAGAAAAATGCCTTTGGGAGCTCTGAATACAGAGTCTGGTGTAGATGGACAGGCTGTGGCTGTGAGTCATGGGAGACACTCCCACACTAGCACTAAAAATCCTGTCTGGAGTCTGATTTTTATCAGACATTTATATCCTATGAGCTTAGCATATAGGCAGGCCCAAAGACCAGGAAATAAAAGGAGGAAATGAGAGCCTGGCAAACAATGTAATTGCTCCATTTTGGACACTGCTCCAAGTGCAGAACACGGCTCAGTGCTAGGGAGCAACTCCCTGCGTGAGCACGGAAAGTTTCAGGTCAGGGATCACCCCCAGGGAGCCCCTTGGGGCAAGCTAGTGGGTTCTCTCCCTCAGACACACATCTGAGACCGCTACGGCTTTCCCCTTAGACCAGCGTGAGACAAGGGCAGCTTCTCAACCTCATGAGGAGCAGATGGATCTTAAAAGGAAGGTCCTGACCGGGGCTGTTATGCCCTACTGGCAGGGCCAGCGCCAGGAGCTCAGGGCTCCAAGAAGCCTCCGCCATGCTGTGCCCACCGTGCCCGTTTGTCCCAGCCCTGCTGCTCCAGGCTGGGCACGCCAGGCGTTCGCAGCCAACTGGATGGATTTTCATGGAAATGGCTGGAGCCGGTTCTATACTGCGAGGTTGCAAAAGATGACTAATTCGGTACAAGGAACTCATTAACATAATAAACTACTCTAGACTTCAAAAGTTATTCCAGTGATCTCAGGCTTCTAATCTGCTTCTGTTAAGCTCAGGATTCTTCCTCCCTGCACCCGCCGAAGCAAAAAGTCTCTTTTCTCTTTGCTGTGAACACATGGGTTGAGAGGCGCCTGGGTTGCTCCAGGACGCCCAGCACAGTGGCCAGCAGGAACCCGCACATGTTTGCCCTGTCCCCCTTCCCGAAACACCACCCCAGGGCTCCCGGGGGGCTGTGTTCAGAGCTCATGCACCCTCCTGGCCCAGCTGGCTCCTGCTGCCCGGCAAATAGCATCTGATTTATGGGACTAATAAATGATCTGTGTATTTGCCAAGATTGCAAAGCAACCACAGCATGTTAAAGGGAAACAGACAGCTGCATTTTATTGTATTTGTTTAAATTAAAGGGTAGAAAGTTTGAAGATGGTGTCCAATTTTGCCACTGCAGCATGACAGCAAAAAAAAATGGACATCAGGACTTTGGAAAGCAAAGCTTCCTCTGTCACTTTCACTGGCTTTGCAAGCACCTATTTACCAGCACATTTAAAAATGTCACCCCCAAAAGCTCATTAGAGTATGCAGAGAAGGAAACCTCAAAATCAGTCAACTCCAAAACCACCGCCATGTTTTTGTGGCACAACACCCCGGGTCGGCTGCCGCGGGCGCTGTGGACTCAGCAGTGGGGACAGCGCTGGCCCCAGCTGCTCCCAGGGCGCCACCGAAGTGGCACCACCGGCACCGCCGCCCCACGGTGCCTACGCTCCCAAAGCAACCACCCACCTGCCCTCCTCCCGGGCACCTCCCGCCACGACTTAAAACCTTGAGGGAAATAAATGGCTGGCAGAGGTTTCCTCAGGGAAGAAGACAAGGAGCAAACAGCTACCTTGGGATCTACGAGCGCTCCAGCCTTGATAAGGTATTTCACAGTTTCCAGGTGGTTGTTTTCTGCTGCTTCCATCAGCGGAGTCCGCTGGTCCTCCGAGCAGGTGTCGATATTGGCACCAGCCTGTTAACAGGACAAGGCAGATAGAGCAATTTCAACCATCGCTGTTACGCAGAGGAAGCACGTGGGAATATACATTTAGCAGCAGGTTGGTTCTGAAATTTAGCCATATAGAGTAGGAAAGGAGAGAGAAAAAAATAAGGCAGGAAAGGCAGGCAAACTCCACCTGTCCTGGAAGCAACAGACCCCACCTGTCCTCCCTCCTGCCTTCAACAGCCAATAACCATGGCAGGACAAAGGCTACAGCTGGTGTCAAACAGCTCCTCTTATTAATTCATCCTGGACTGCTGCTTTCTAAATATTACATGTTTACCTCCAAAGAGAAGAAAAGAAACAAAAAAAACAACCTTCACCTTATTCCAAAAGCTTTTGTTTTCCCAGATATTTCATTTCTACAGAAGGAACAAAACAACTAGTTCTTCCTACCGTCACAAGCAGTTGGAACAACTTGCTGGTAATAAACAAGGGAAGAGCTCTAAAAAACTTCTGGTAATTGACTATTTCAGTTGAAATCAATGACTATATTTCCACAGCCTTTTCTGAAAATACTTTTGGTTCAAATAGGGAGTGCCTAGGAGAAAAAATGTATTCTTGTGTCAAGTAGCTCGGCCACTTTAACTCTTTGATTCAGCTGAGCATCTCGCACAACAGTTGAAGAAACAGCAACAGGGTATCTCAAAGGCTCTGCTCCAGAGCAGCATGACTCTGGCAGGCCAAGAGCGGAGCCAAGCGTGGAGCAGAGACCTCCTCACAGCAGCCACCTGTGGAGTTGGGCTCACCTGGCAGGAGGAGACGCCCTGCTGTGTCCAGGTGCCTCCCTCTGAACACAGTTGGTTTGGTTACTTTCAAATAGCTGCAACAATTCAGGCCGAAAAGAGGCTTTTCAAGTTGAACGAGCTGGAGGCGTTCCCAGCCAAATACTGCACAACTGCAGTAGCCAGACTTCAGGGAACAGGCAGGAAGATGAAGGATCTTGGAAACAAACTGACCCTTCTGATACCCGATTCAAATTGCTCCTAGCGTCTTGCAAATCATGCAAGTCATTCCCCTGTCGTCCCATGCAGTAACTCTAATGAGCGTCAGCAGCAGCTGGCCCATAGCTGGCCTTCAGCTAGCACTACTCGGGACTCGCATTCAGAATGCACGAACCACCACCCCAAGAGGCTCATTTTCAGAGACAGCGATACTGCCACCTTCTCAACGTTCCTCTGAGGTTTCCTGGTCACACAGGACAAACAAAACATACTGCTGGTCACTCATGGTGATGCATGCCAAGACAAAAATACACAAATAAATTTTCAGAATTTTTTAAAAGCCTTTTTTTTTCATACAGGTTTGGAACAGGTTCATCAAGAACAATCCCACTTTCTTTTTCTTCTCTTATTCAAACTGATTGAATCCCAGTCTCAGACACGAAGCCATGTGTACATCCGTCTGTCTCTCGTTTTGGCTACAGGGTATCTACACCGTGAAGGAAAATCCTGCCGGGGTTGCTCAGAAGCGGAAGGTGGGTCCAGCCACTGGCAGGGCACAGAGGCCAAGCACCCTCACCACACGGCAGCCCCACGGCATGGCGCGCGGGGCACCCATGGACCCATAGGCACAGGGCGCCCTGTGTGGGCGCTGCCACGTGCCCTGCGAGGACAGCGACACCCACTTGGGAACAGCCTAGGAAGCTGCATTCTGCCCAAGATCTTGCGCTGTCTTCTGCCTCTCCACCCTCAGCACACCCTGAGAATGAAGACATTTTTAAAGCAGGAAAGTGGCAGGGTTAAGTTCCATGTGTTCTTCAGCCACAAGGAGCAGACCAAAAACCATAGGAAGCTGTTCTGAAAAGCGTTAAGTGGGGACGAACCTGAATCAGCATATGGCAGATGTCCACGTGGCCAGACTCAGCGGCAGCATGAAGAGGAGTTCTCTTACTCTGATGCTCCATTTTAAAATTAGGGTCAATTCCATCCACTGAAAACCAGAACAGAGACACTTTCAACCACAGTTCAGAGACTAGAGAAAAGTGACAGGAGAACCCAAGTATCTCAGCTAAGGGCTTTTAAAGGAGTTGTTCCTAGCCCACAGCCTGCACTTCTCATGATTCACCGCACACGCAGGAAAGCCGGGTAGCCTGATGGACATTGATATACAACAGTCCTCAAACCAATGACTTCAGAAACAACATGGAATTTACTACTTTTAAGGCACTACAATTTCTACTAAAACTTTTTAGTGAAATTCACAGTGTGAGGAGCCATCTAGAGAATGAAGAGCGACCGCTTCTGTAGAACTCAAGCAGGTATCTGCTATTTGTTAGCTCAAAGGCCACCTCCATCTCCCTCAGATTTGCAAATTCCTATTGTTCATTTTTATTGCCCAGCAATAAAAAAACCCATCAACAACAGAAAAGACTAAAAATATTTGCTCCTTTGGAAGCTGGAAAAATATTAGGAGTCAGTACTGCCTGCCCTCTTCTACCTCAGGACTATCATTAGCTGCTCTTAGTACTGGGGGCCCTCTTTGCATCCCTGAGAACACAGGTCTCCAAAGTGCATGGAGCTACTTTAATTAGCACCAGCCAGGGATCCGGTCAGCACTGCCAGCCGTGCAGACACTGACAGGTGATGATGACACCCACAGACCTCTGGGCATGAGAATATGTTGCCTATGAAGCTATAGTTAAATATCAATGAATAAAGTTCTTGTGCTATTAAAGACACAAACAATGAAGCTAAATCTCATCGGAAGAAAAAAAAAGAATTTAATAAAAGAAAAAAAAATACAGAAAATGTCCAAAAAACATACTGCAAAGTATCGGAGTGAAAAGAAAATGACCGCAAGGAAATGCTGTGTCCTTCAAATGAGGAGATTCCTTGGGAATATTTCTTGATAAAAGAAATTCCAACTGTTCAAAGTCACCAGGTGACAGAGAGTGATGCACCCCCAGAAAGGCTGTTATGTATTGAAGCTTTACATATCGAAGAAGTCTTCCTTTCTGCTCTCTTGCGGATGGGTCCTAAATTAAACACACTCCCATCTTTTCACATCCCTATTGGATGCACAAACCCAACTCCACTGCATGGAGACGCAAAGTCCTGTCAGACTGGAAAATCAGGTGCAAGTCACTTGAGGACAGAAGACAGCATCTCTGGCTGAAACTGTGTCCAAATGCAGAAGCAAGTTGGGAGCAAGTCCACATTTCAGGGGAAAGATGAAGCCATTTCAAATGGCACGTTACTTGCAAAAGGGACTTTCTCCTCCAATACCGCTCACGAGGAGCGATGGGAATACGACGTGCTGCCCTGCTGGGCACTGGACTCCAGCAACTGCCTGGCAGGAGCTGGGAATACTGCCAAACACACAGTGTCCTGGAAAACAGCCACTTACCCAACATAAGCAGGACTTTTTGCAGTTCTCCTTGCCTAGCAGAGAAGTACAACTGCTTTGGATGGAACCGTAACTTCTTGGGTCTGTAAGAGTGGGGAAAGAGGTGTCACTGATTCCCTATAGAACATTCCCAGCATTTTATCTCACCCCACTACTACACCATGTGCACGGCAAGAGCTGTTCCTAGAGGACAGTTCCAGACCACCAGCAAACTCAGAGGTATCTTCAGACTTGCAGCTCAAACCGTGACAGGCTGGTTCTGCTGAGGGTGGGATCTACTCAGAGCTAGACAACACATCCTGAGGTTTAGTTCTGTCAGAAGGAATTCCCAGCAGTCACAGCTGCCACTGAAGGCCAGTGGAGGGCCACTAACTCCTTCAGGCAAATAAGTAACACACTGCAACTGTTCTCTTGAATCAGTAACCTGCTGGGGGTGATGAATGACTGGAGGGAACAAAGATACTCCAGGTCTACGACAGAGACATCTCTGTTCTCTCTAGGTGAAGCAACAGTGCTAGAAGCAGAGCCATGCTGAGGCCTTTTCTTACTTTTCAGAATCCAGGGCAATCAGGGCACTTTCCAAGGTTTCTTTAACTGGTCCCTGGGTGAGGCTTGTAGTGGGCTTTGGAAAAACTGAAGACCCAGCCATGTCGAACACCTCCACAGCTGAACTTTCTGGCTTATCTTCCTCTGACAACCGCGTTCCAGTGCCACTGAAGTGAAAAAATGAGAGACAGCCAAAGCATAACCATTAAAAATAGACAAGAGTATGTATATCTTATGCCAAAGAAAGGAAATGGGTTTTAAATGCAGATAGCCTAAGCAAATTTGCAACACAAACCAATACATTTTACAGCCTTTTCGGTAAGGACTTGCCCCGGATGGGAGTTGCATTGCCCTCTGACTACACTTATATGTGCCCTGTGCAACTGCAAATGTAGGAAAACAGGGCTTAGGACACTGTCCTACTTAGTGCAAGTCATGAAGACCATCAAAACAAGATCAGATCTCATGGAAGGTCAAAGCCCTTCTCAGAAAGCAGCTCAGCGCAGGGATGTTTTGATTTTTGTTTTCCTCTTGTGTTTTGATTCTCCCCTTAAGCCTGTCTCGACTGCTTTGAGTCACGTGCCATGCTGCTACCACATGCATCTCCCTGCCTTTTTACAAGGCCTGGCAGTATCAGACTGTTTCAACTGCTACTATATCCCTAACAGCCGCAGACAGGAATTGCCTTGATCTTCCTGCCTCCCTACCTTCACGCCTCAATAAGCCACCTTGGCCCCCCAGCCCAGCTCCCACTGTGCTGCTGGGTTCCTCCGGGACACGCTGACTAACAAGGAATCTGCCTCTTCTCAGCAGCAGCTGAGTGTGGCCGCTCAGAGCAGGGCAAGAACACGCTTTTCTGTGTCAGGAGGACCACGGGTGTTCAAATGCAAAGCAAAGTCCAGGGCAAGGCTTGAGGTTGCCACGTGCTCCCAAGCTCACCTCCCCGTTGTGGTGTCAGCCCTTCCCTCCACAGCTGCTGGTTTCTGCTGCTCATAGGTCAGCGACACTGTCGAGGTTGTGTCCGCTTTTGCTATTGTTACCTCCTTGGCCTTGGAGGCCTCTTCCCCGCAGTGTGGGCAGTAGCTCGTGTCGTTGACTTGGGAGGCACAGTTCTTGTGGAAACGGTGCGAGATGCTGCTCTCAGGCTGACACTCCATGAAAGTGCCCTAGGAAAATCACACAGAGGGAATTCACACCTCGGTCACTCCCTGCCTTCCTGCTTCCACGTGCTTCATCCGCACATTTCTGAAATATTTCACTCCTGACCACTCTCGTCCCTTCCTCTTCCAACACAGTAAGCCAACACTGCCGCTACCTTCGAAGAGAACAAGACCGAGATCCTGGGACAAAACTCATTAGCTAGGGACTGCAAAGCAAGGTTTAATTGCACTTGGGAAACAGAACCACTAAGACCAACTCCCAGCTCTAACACCTGCAGGTCTTGCTCATGTCTCTGGAAGTGCCAATGCGCTGAAAGGCCTGCCCCAAACTGCGGAGGAAAGCGCTGTGCGCTGAGCCAGCATGCAAACTGCCTCGCAGAGCTGGGCTCGGGGCGCTCGAGGGCGCTGCCCCGGCGCAGCCGCTGCTCCCCGCCACAGCCAGGTGCAGGCTCCTGCGCTCGGCCACGCTGCTTCACCCGCCGAGGGGGCCCAACGCTCCACCGGGGACTAGGCAACACTTCTGACACTGTTTTCCCCTGCCAGCAAAGACCCCTGATGCGAACTGAAGGGCCCCAGCACTCGACGACACTAGCGCTGCTGAAGCCCGGCTGCGCTCGTGCGTTAGCGCTGCCGGCTGGGACGCCGGCACTCCCGGCCTCACCCCTGCACTAGGACCCGCCACTGCCGCACGTAAGAGCAGCTCAGGAAAGGTTAGCTAAAACCCTCTTTTTTCCCCAAATTCACACTCCTCCAAAGAAACCTAATTACCTCTATTTCAGCTTTGCAAAATGCCTTTAAGGGTTTTGAGAATTTTATCTTGTAAATGCTCTTTGACTCAGCATGCAAACTCAAGATGGCTCCATTTATTACAGTAATGCTCAAGACTACTGTAGCATCTTTCCTTGAGTCATCTAAAAAGCACCTCACTAACACCAGACAATTAAGCTTCCCAATCACCCTATGAAGCAGAGAATTGGCGTTTTGTCAGCTTTAGCAACAGGGAAATTAGAACACCGATGGCTTAAAGCATTGGATCAAAGCTATTAAAAGCCTCAGTGGCCGAGGTGGAAGCAGCAGCAGCAGATCTGAAGCACTGTCCTGTTCCAGGGCCATCACCTCGGTCCCCCACCTAACCCGCCACGCGCAGGCGCTGGGACAGGGCCACCCCGTGCTCACAGACTAACACAGCAGCCTAATGTGACTTCTGCTGTGACTGACCTGTGCAGAGGAAAGAAAAATGCATAAATGAAACTCTCGCTGCAATGAGATTCCTATGCAAGACAGCCACTGCAGGGAAGCACGGTGAGAAGCAGACCATAACGTCGCTGGGGGCTCCGGAGTGAGAGGCGAGAGCCTCAGCTACCCTCGCACACATGGCTCTTGAACAGAACACCGGCTCACGTGCTGTGGAGAGAGGTGGAGCTCCTGCCAGGGAGTCAGTAAACCCCCTGGGGCGCACTTCCACCTTCAACTCTTTTGGCTACTGTGACAGGTACCCCCTTCCCTAGATTGAGAGCACGGACTTACTGCAGTGCAAAAGTATCCACAGCCAGGGCAACACTGGTGTTTCACCATCCTCCCTCTATGGTCCTCACACAGCACCAAAAGCTGGACTTTGTTAGACGGGCGCATCAGTTCATACTTAACCACACTGTTTGTGCATCGGCCCAGCTGGAACAGGAGAAATTAAAGGAAATGAAATTACTGGAGACCAAAACACTCTCTGCGCTTGTGCGGAGGAAGACTGTGCACACTGCCTCGATGAGCCCTGGCTTTTTCACAGTAATTCAGATGTGTGTCAGAGAGCATTAACAGTGCAGCAGGAAGCTGTGAAGGCTGCTCTCCCAGGAAGAAATGCATCATTTACTAACTAACATGCATGTGGCCCAGAGGCATTTGCTCCTTGCAAGAAAAATCGTAACTGGAAACATGCAACAGCCAAGCGGTCACAGGCCGGGCAGCACCACGGGCCTGACTCAGCAGTGCCCGCTGCGCCAGCCAAGGGCACAGGCCCACGTGCACTCTGTCTTGTTACGTGTTCAACGGAGAAGGCGCAGGGAGATAAAGGAGGAAGTAACAGCTCTTCGTTGCCAGCTAAGTTTTCGTGTGCACCGGCTCCAGCACTGGCCTCTGCCAAGACCACAGGGCCAAGCAGCCAGACTTTCGGCATAGCTCAGCTAATGTCACATTTCGAGCAGGTTTCCAAAGGATTTCAGAGGGACATGCCACTTTGGACATGAGAAATGGTCTTATCTTGTGCCGCCTCATTCTGCTAAGCCAGGAGGCTCCATGGGCATTGCCTCTCCCTTGGGGTCCTGGCTCCGCTGCGGCACAGGGCACAGCGCTCCCTCCCGCCGCCCCTTGCAGACCTCCGTGACACCCTCGCTGCCACGTGCCAGCAGGACACCGCACTGCTGGGCTCTGCAAGCTCCTCTGCATAACACCCGGCTGCCCCCAGATGCTCAGCAAAGGGCATTTGAAGAAAACCTGGAGATTTCAACGTGAGAGGCAAGGAAACGTCCCCACCACAACCTGTGCAGGTTTATCAATCAGCACTGCCACCGTGACCAGCAGCAGCAGCAAACACCGTGCTTACTCATCTCTCCAGGCTATGCCTGTCCCTCTGCCCAGCTGAGCTTCTACCTGCTGCTTCCTCCCAACATAACTAGGCTTCCTCGCTAGTTTTTTTGGTGTTTTTCTTTCTTTTTAGCTCCATTTGTCCAACAGAACTACCGTCACTGCAGAGAAGAGGACAGACTTTAACCAGGCTTCCTGAGGCAGCACGTTGTGCGTCTCATCCACCCGGTTTCAGCTGCAGGGTGAGCCCGTTGCTGCGACGCCTCGGCTGCAGCGGCGCCCGCAGCAGCGCCGGAGGAGGGGACAGTTCCACCTCCCCACCTGCCAGCACAGCGAGCTCCACCCGGGCGTGCGAGCAGGGGCCGCGGCCGTGCAAGCCAGCCCTTCCCGCGCTACCTGTCACACCCCGGGCTGTTTGTCAGAAGCTTTAAAAAGTAGGAAATGATTAATTGTGACTTTCCAACCGTTAGAGAGTACAGCAGGGTACTCACAACTATTTATAACATCATCCAAGGACACACCTGTCTGGAGAAGGTTCTCTTCATCCATATAATATCCTTATAACATCTTTGAGTCCCTTCATACCCCTCTCTGCAAAGGAATCTATCAAGGCATGCCCTTTGCTAGTCCTCGTGCTAATTTATCTGGGGAAAGAACTATCAAGCAGCCATATACAAGAGAAACCTTTCCTGTATTTGTGTTTCTTTTGAAACCCTGGAGATCGGGACGCTAGTCCCTCTCTCTCCAAGTCTCCAGGGTGGTCTCTCTTTAATAAATCAATATTGTTTGCCACGTTTTGGAAATGCCTTTCTCTACAGGATACCAGCACACACCAGCAGAAATAGAGCTGGGCCCTAAATTTCATTATTTTCCTCCCTGCCTCCTTCCAGCCACCCACCCTTCTCCAGGCATCCTACAGGAAAACACGGAAGATTCGGACTCCTTGTCCTACTATCAGCAGGTATCAGAATGGTGCAGAATGACTGCGGCTCAGCTGAAGCTTAAAAGAAACATGAGTGTGTTCCAGTAAGGGGAGGAGCCAAAGAGTCTGCATCTGTCCTGAAGTCTTGCTTTCCAAGCTCTTGGAAGGAGTCACTTCTGCCACTTATTTCCACGCTTCTGGAACCAGTACAGCGCAAGCAGCCCAGCTGTAGCCAAGTGAAAGTCATCAAGCGCAGGCGTTCTCAGTCGGCCAGCCCTGGAGGCTGTGCGGTTGCCAGGACATAGGAAGCTTTGCAACAGAAGCCTCTTTGGGGGAGGAGGAGAGAGCAGGCTGGCAGGGACCGAGGCGGCCACCACGCCAAGTTCAGAAGCTCGAACTGGCTGGGAAAGGTTTGCATCAGCTCCTTCGTGGCCAAGGGAACCCAGCTCCCAGCCTGCTCCCGCTGGCCTGTCTCACTTAGATGCGTGCTAACGTTATCTCAGTGCACTTGGCCTGAAGTGGGTCAGTCCACCAGCTCGCCCAGCCGCGCAGGCCGGGCCAAGCAGCAGGGATGCAGGCGAAGCCTCCCGCAGTGCCGCAGACAAGCGCCAGCTCCTCCCTCGACCCAGGGCGCGGCACAGCCCAGCCACCCGCGGCAGCAGGGAGCCGGCCGGCAGCTCCTCGGGGCCGCGGCCCGACCTGACCACGGCCCCAGCTCGGCACCTCGCTGGGAGCCGCGCGGCTGTGCCCCTCCTTCTGCACAGGAGCAGCCCGCGGAGCCGGGGACGGGCTCTTACCTCGTTATCCACGCTCTCCGTTGCCATGCACTGGTTGTTGGCTAGCGTGGTAATCTCTCTGCTTTTGGGGGTTTCCATTCGACAGCTACAGAGAGGAACTTCCTGGAGACCATCAACTTCCATGGCTTCAGGGCCATTGGAAAGACCTGGAGCACAAAAGAAGAGCAAATCAACTCTGAAAGTTTCTGCTAGGAGAAACGCAGCCTGTCAACACCACCTGTGGCATCTGCATGTTCTGTGCTCTCAAACACATGTGAAAAGATCTCTTCCTTACACTGGATGAAGTTTGCAAAAGCATTATATATTTTGCTAAATTCTGCCACACTGCAGATCTCAGCACGGAATTCAAGAACAGAGTTAAGAATGGTTTATCTTGAGAAAAGCGAAGATGCAAAGCAGAGAAAAGTAAAGATGAAGTACAAAACTATCAGTGTGCCTTTCCTCCCCACCCACACCACAACACTGAACGCTGATACCAGGAAATTTGTAGGAAATCACCTGGAGTTTGAAATCTGAATAGTTATTGCAGCAATAAATAGAGAAGGTCAGGAAAGCACAAACTTCTATCTGCAGAGGCTTATTACACAGATGGGGGAAAAAAATCCTGGGACTACTCGGTCTCAGCCAACAAAGAAATACTTTTTTTTTGGAAAGAGAACAAAACAGGGCAAGAAAGAAACAAGATGTTCAGATGTTCTTGCTTTCTCCT